ATGAGGGGAGAATCAATTTCAAATTTCAGATTTTGAAATCTGAAATTAAAATCTGTGAAATCTGAAATTAAATATGTGAGAGGGAGGCATTAAAGAGGTGTTTAAGTGGTGATGAGGTGGCAATTAGAGAGAGAAACAATAAGGGTGAGGTGACCGACCATGTGGAGAGAGAGAGGGGCTTGGTATTAAATAAAATGGGGCCCACATAATTAAAGCAGATTTAATCAAAAATCTGGATTGAAATTTCAGGTTTCATATATGACAAAAGTTTCCTAAAGTATGACAATCAATTGACTTAATTTGAATTTCAAATTGGGATTGAAATATAATTAAGAAGATTGCCTAAAATCAAGGATTTAATTTAAGAAAGTCATTTGTCTCATGGGGAGATTTGAAATTTCAAATCCCAAGGAGGGAGGCCAACGACTGGAAGGGGGATGGGGCCAAGGGGGCGGGGTGGATGGCCGGCGGGTGGTGACTGTCTGGGAGCCGACGGCTTGGGTGAGCAAATGGGGCGGCGGCAAGGCTTGAGGGGAGGGGGAAGGGAATTCACTACATATAAGAAAAAACAAGATTGAAATTGTGAAGACTCAAGAGATCCACTCACCTCAAGTGATTCCGCCCAAATCTCACAAAGAAATCTAAAACAAAATTTTAAGAACTAACAAAGAGATCTTTCTCCTCCAAGAAACTCACTAAGAGATCACCAAGCGGAATAAGCTTTTCATTCAATCATCAAAAACTAAAACTATTACATTGCAAGAGGCCTTATATAAGTAGGCATAAATAAAATAAGATGAAAAGACGCGAATGCCCTCAGGGCTATATAAGTGACTCAATGCCCACAGGGGCAAACTAAGAAACGAAATACAAGCGTAAATAAAACTACAAATAAATCAGAAATAGAGGCTCTGAATCGTGGCCGTCGATCTGCGTCTCCGGCGATGGTACGCGTGTCGAAATCTGATGTCCTCATCAGAGGATGATGCTTTGTATGATGTAAGGCCCTCTAATTGTCATGGCATAAAAGACAAAAGAGCAATTGAAGAACTTGAAGTTGATGATTAGACTATTATGGATGAGCTTAAAGAAATTAATCTGGGAATAGAGGAGGATCCTCATCAGAGGATGATGCTTTGTATGATGTAAGGCCCTCTAATTGTCATGGCATAAAAGACAAAAGAGCAATTGAAGAACTTGAAGTTGATGATTAGACTATTATGGATGAGCTTAAAGAAATTAATCTGGGAATAGAGGAGGATCATCGTCCAACCTTTATTAGTACTTTGCTCCCCAAACACAGTCAAAGAAATCAATGTGCTACTTTGTAAGTTTGGAGATTGCTTTCCTTGGACTTAATACAAAATGTCTAGCCTATCATTTGAAGTGGCAATTAAAAAATTGGATTTTAAGCTTCACGTGTCACACATCAAGTAGCCACTAAGGCGTATGCAACAAATATTTGACAAGCAAGGTCATTACTTAAACCAAAAGGTTGATGGAAGTTAGTATTTCATCAAACAATATGAGCAGATTAAATTGTTATTGATGTGCTTATCAATAAAAAAATAATCAAACACAAGTCTGCATTAACTTCAAGGATCTCAATAAAGCGTGTTCAAAAGATGGCTTTCAACTCCATATATCAAAATTGTTGCTTGATAATACCTCAAATTATGATATGCCCTCATTCATGGATGAATTTTCAAGCTCTAATCAAACACATATGGCACCAAATGATAGAAAGAACACGTCCTACTAAACACCAATTGACATATTCTATCACATAGTCATTTTGTTTGACTCGGAAAAATAGTAGGGCCATGTATCAAATGCTTGCAACAAATTTTTTATGGTTTGATTCACCAAAAGAAGAAAAGCAAAATTGATGATCTTATTGTCAAAAGAAAGCTCCATACAAAGCACCTCAATGATTTGCAACTCACATTTGAAAGGATAAGAAAATACAACCTTAAAACAAATCCTCATAAGTGCGATTTAGAGGTCTCCTTAAAAAAATTTCTAAAGTTTGTTGTGCACCACCAAGAAATCAAGATCAACCCTAAAAAAATTCAAGCCATTGTTGAGATGCTCTTGCCAAAAAGCCTACACCGACTTTGTTCATTACAAATGACAATTTGCTTGCATTCGATGATTTATAATCAAATAATACATGATAATGCGAATAAAACAGCAACATAATTTTTAGTTGAAATAAATTTGAAAGTACCTCAGTCTTCATATCAATCCCATATATGCAGAATATGTTCTTTAGTGGAGGCCTCTCCCAAGGTGTCAGGGGATTTAACACTGGATCACCTTGGTAATACCTGAAATTTAGACAATTGGTAGCATCTCCTTCAGCAGAGTTTCATACAGACTTTAATAATGGATATTAGAGCTATTGCTGTAGTAGCTCATGATAATAACATTAACTACAATAGAGACCTACTCACCAACATCCTTCTCATGTGTAAAAGCCACATTCATAACCACTAAGCCTTTTGAAGAGATTCCGTATTGACTATCTTTTATAAATTATACTGCTTGTCTTCATATTCCTTAGTACAATTCAATTTTTAATATTCTTTTTAATATAAATCACTTTTCAAGTAAAATAAATAAAAGAACTAACCAAATATAATACACCACAATTTTCTACAAATGTACCCCGGCTATTTCACCCTCTTGTGTACCTCAGCATTCTATCATAATTGAATGTTTCTAATAATATATCTGCATAAACTGTTGTAGCTTGTAGAGTGTAAATTGTTTCATTGAAAGGATGAAGGGCTAGAGTTTTATTTTTTAGGATGCTGTAGGTTTCCAACGAATTTCATGCAAAAATTCCAACAAATTTCTGACCGAAATTCCACCAGAAATCCTCAACATGGCACTAACGAACAAGACGATGGACATCAGGGGAAGGAAATTCCGCCGGAAAGTTCTTGTGGAAATTTCACCGGAAATTTTCGGCATCGATTCGATCCCATTCTGTTACTTTTGACGACGTCTATTTCTAACCTATATCCGTCGGAAAATGTCCCAACGGAATAAAATTTCCTACGCGCTTTTTACCAGTGGATTTTATCCCATTTGAAAGCCGTCGAAAATGAGTGATTTTCATGCAGCGATATTAGTTAATCAATGTCATTTCTTATGAAGTAACATTGCATAAAGCTATGTTGATGCAATGGAAAACTCTTGGCAGTTGAGTAGATTATTGTCATCTTGCTTGAAGCTATTATCATGAGCTAATGTTTAGAAATGGCAGTAATCACGAATGAGGTGTTGCGCAACAGAAAAGGCAAGTAATACAAATTATGAACTACTTACCCACCAATTCCTCATGTTTTGGGTTTTCTGCTTTTATGATTTTAACACAGGCTACAAATAAGGTGTGAAAAAACTTGTAATTAAAACATTAAGAAAACTAGAACGTCAAAAATAACTCAGTAAAAGGATTATCAGCTTGAGAATTTACTTTCCTAGATAATTAATTAAGAAAAAAAATTAAGTATTGCCTTTACTTTGGAACTGTATTCAACATGATAAAGCAAACAGGTTCGTGAATGCAGTTAGAAATCAAAATGACCATTTTAAAGAAAGAAGTTGATGAGGAGGCAATTGTTAATATGCTGGCATTGGTTGAGATGCCTTAAAATGGAACACTTGAACATTGCAAATCAGAGCAAAGATTGAGTACATAATATATAATTTTATTAAGTGAGAAAATCATAATTTCTAGTCAATAATACTAGAAGAAGATGATAATTAGTTGAGATATATTTAAATATCTTAGATCAATTATTATAAATATGTACATAAATAAGGATATAACTTTAGAGTTAAAAATGAATTATTAAAATAAAAAAAGTACAAAAATTATTACGTGATAAGAGAATACTTTGAAGAATTAAAGGCAAATTTTATGAAATTGCAGCTAGGTTGGCCATATTGCATTGATTGAAAGTTGGAGAAAACAAAAGTTTTTGATAGCCAAATATGCATGTCGGAGATGATAATAATAAGATGAATGTATGACAACTAGGAAGGATAATTTAAGAAAATGATTCCATAATAAAGCCCTGCATTGGGTACCCATACCCATACCCATACCCACTCACGTACCCACTCACGTACCCACCCATACCCATTTGGGTACGCTCATGGCCTCTGGGGTGAGTACTCAACATCGAGGGATAAACCAATTTACATCATTAATCACCGTATGTTGTATATTACTGCAATCCTCACTACACAATGCGGATCACTGAACCGCGCTACGACCACGGTAAATTCTAATATGCGGCTTGTAAGTTTACAGTCAGAGCAAAAGGCAAAAGCCTCAAGGCCATCAATATGTGGCGAACTGCATTCAAAAAGCGTGAAAAGTGAGTGGGTATGGGCGGCTACGACATCCCGAAAGTCACCATGGCCCACACAAAGCATGGGTACCTAATGGGTACCCAACCAGGTCCCCATGTAGGGCTTTGTTCTTCTTGATCTAAAATATCAAATTACACGCGTGAAACAGTAAAAACGGACACAAAATTAACGCGCGTGTCGGCGCGACGCATCACTTGAAAGGTCAGATGACGTCCGATCACCAAACAAATTGTGTCATTGTGACCAAAAAGTCAAATTCTCTTAGGTTGAGACCCTTCGCAGTCAAATCGAGCGCGACCAGTCAAAATCGATGATCGACACCAAAAAAATAACATGCGACGGCAACCAAATGACCCAAGATCGCAAAACGGACTTTGTCGTTACATTCGGAGCATCGTCAACATTCAAAAATGTTTGTAAATCTTCACAAAGAAAATTGCGCGTGTAAATCGACCCAAGTTCAAAGACGACAACCTGCAGCTTTTGAAAAAATTGCACGAATATCAATCCAAAAATATCTATTGCAATTTTTTGTCATTTTAATAATGGTTATTATTATCTGATAATAATAATTATCATTATTATTTAAAAAAAAAACAAAATGAAAATTAGGTTTAAAAAAAAATATATCAAATTAGATCAACTCAATTTAAATTAACACAGTACCTAGCCGTGGAATCCAGACGTCAGGCGGACGCTTCGCGTAAGCCTCCCACGATGAAGACGAGTGTGGTTTGTCCTTTTTGCATGACACACAGATTTCGTCGATCGCTAAACGAAAACGAAAAGAGGAATTTCGTTTACGACTTCTACGCAAAAAAAACTTTCGAAATTCCACTTGCTCCAGCCGGAATTCCTTCTCCACGACCGACTCTTGCTTGCTCGCCCGCCACTTTTCCATTCAAGAATTGCTCTTGCCGAAATCCTACCAGATTCGCGACTTCTCATACCCAACCAACGCCCCACAAGATCCCAGCTCCTGTTCGAACGTGTCACAAGCCCTTCGTCCTTCGGCTTCACGCAAACCACGTTTCCACACTTCCTTCGTCAAGCACGACTTCTGATCCGACACTTCATCCACCCGAACCCCATCTCCAGCCTTACCAAATCAAGGTCTATAGCTCGCCGACCCTCCGGGGGATTTTCTCAAGCCCGATGTCAATCGGACCACATACGTCAGACCGTTTTCCACCACAACTGCAAGCTCGCCTCACGCGAACCAAAATCCACGCAAGCTAGTGTCGATCTCCCTCAGTTCTCCGGTCAATTGCACGTGAATCTCATCTCACAGTTTTGCAAAACAAAGAAGTGTCAGAGGTGAAATTATTATACTCTTTTCACTGATATTATTATGCACTCATTATAAACTATAACTATGTTAATATAATCTAATTATAATTTTGTTGTTTATAATTTTAAACTGTAATTGTATTAGTTAATATTTAATTATAATCTGTAACTTAGAATCATTTAACTATAATTTATGCTATAATGATTATGTTAATTACGAGCCTGTTGTAATTATGCAAAATATAATAATCATATAAACCATGACATTGTAAGTTATAAGTTAAATTTTAATCAGGCTTTACCCGATTTGCATGCCGACACAGCAACGACATAGCCCTTAACCTAAATATCAGCATCACTGATGACTTCTGTGCAAAGGTATAAAGTTTCAAATCCCGTCCTCGATGCGTGTGATGCGTTAGTGGACCTCCTATAAACGCTCTTATAGCACAGTATGGGGGAATCCAATGCGACACATATGACGAGACAGGTAGGCCCTATACACGCTCTTGTAGCATGGTGGGAATAACCTTAAATACCCATACGCAACTCAGTCCCCCTGTGAGGAAAGAAATTTGTGTATTTTTTTTAACAGGTGCCTTGAAGATCTCATACACGCTCTTGTAGCATGGTGGAATTGAAGACTACGACCGTGATGTCTCAGGACACCTATCATATACGCTCTTATAGCGTAGTGGGAAGGCCCAGCTCTCCTACATTTCTCCCAAATGGGGGATATGCTAGGATGCTGTCGAAATTTACAACAAACAGAGGACCTGTACTTGAGCAAAAAAAAAGACAATATCAAATGCACAGGGAATTTAAATGAAACAAAGGAAATCAGACTCAAACTGAACATACAGGTGATACCTCAAAGACCCCATACATGCTATTGTAGCATTGTGGGACTGAAGAATACGGCCGCGGTGTCTACGGACACCTACCGTGCACGCTCTTATAACATAGTGGGAAGGCCCAGCTCCCCACATTTCCCCCAAACAAGGGATATGCTGGGATGCTGCAAAAATTCACATTGAAGTGCACAAGACCTGAATAATAAGAAAATCTAACTTGAGCAGCAATACAAAGGACCTGTATCTGAATATAAGTACACATAACTTGAACAAATATGCAGAGAACCTGTACAAACAACAGAGAACAGGACTTGAACTGAACTACAAAAAATTGAACCTTAAATCCTAAAATGCACAATCAAGATCAAAATGAAAATGTCAAATAATAATTTAATTCATTAAGATGAATATAAGCAATCAAGCAGGGGACTCATGACGAACAGAATATCGATACATACAAATAATGAATGTTAATCAATTCACAGCAATTACAAAATGAATATCAATCACCAATGCCAGAATAAATGATACAATGTACATAACGAACGATGTTGATGAATTCAACGGACTCCCACAACAGTACCTAGGAGGTCAAATGCATTGTACTTGCAAGCAAAAAAAAACAATCAACTGCAGAATGCACGAGTATCACCCATATGCATTAATGAAGGCCTTGATGCAAGAAACAATTCACCGGTAGATTGAAATGATGGCGTTTACAAGCAATGATAAAGGAATTGCATGCACACAACAATTAATCTAAAGACATCAAGCATTGAAAGCGGCAATGCCTTATA